CTGTATCCTGACATGAAAAGTAGTCATCTCTACATTTACTGCAGGTTGAATTCCACGTAATTTCTAATGCTAGCAATTTGGTTTATACAATCTAATAAAAAAATGAGCAGTATTTTCAGGTGGAACATTTATGATCATTCCTGAGCTGTCAGATTGTGTCCATTGTTGGACTGGCATGTGGAAGTGGAAACTTAATAATTCTCCAGTGTCTAAAAGCAAGCACACACTCTTGCCTTGTGTATGTAATACATGGCTTTTCTGACTGGCTGTGAAGTATGTGCATTTGTAGCTGACTTGAATGACTTTGATCTCCTGTTATCTAAAAGCCCCAGTTTGTGTAGTCCCTGTAGTCTGTGCTGTAGCTCTCAGACTGGATTCATCCTGTGAGACATTTCTCTGTAGATAGCTTGTTTTGTTTTCTGGTGGAGACAAAATAACAAAATAACTGTTTCAGTACTGGGCACTTTCCACAGATGGAAAACTCCCTCCAGGGGAGAGCTAGGGCAGAGCCCTGGCTGCTGCTGTGTCCAGGTGCATGGGGAGCCACTTCCTGCTGCAGTGGGGGGAGCATTCCCCAGCAGTAGCTGACACTGTCCCCACCCCGTGTGTGGCTGGCAGGAGCATCAGATGAGCTCTCTGTGGTGAGTCAAAATGGTGCTCTGACTGCTGAGAGCAGGAGAAAAGCATGCTGCCTTGTGACTCACATGGACACCTGATGTGTGCATTGTGTGGAGAAAAATGATAAACAGAATAAATGCTAAGCTGTTGCCTGGAAATTCTGTAACATGGGCAATAAGATATGATCTAAACATCTCTATTTAAGGCTGTGAAGATGAGCCAGCTGTGATACTCAAGCATTTAAACATTGTGTGAGAAGTCAAAGCTACAAGTTTTAAGAAGTGGAGACACAGCAGCATTCTTAACTCAGTTAATGGAAAAATATTGAGGGAAACATGGGATACTGCACAGTTCGGGTGAAGAAGAACTGTAGTGGAGGGCTGGAAAAATTGATGTTCCAGCACTTGTTCCAATGCAATGGAATGCAGTGATGTTCCAGCACTCGTTCCTTTTCTAGCGAGCTCAACAACTCTGCATAGTTTTTCCCTCTTTATTCTTGATTGTATCCTTCCTTGTGTTTCTCTGGCTATGCAGTGCTTTGGATGAGGCAAAACTTCTAATGTTCATGGATCAGATGATTTTCATTTGGGACATGCTCCTGGTCTAATTCACTACAGCAGATGGAGTGTGTGCTTGGTGTTGGGGACATCTACTGTGACAGGGACTGCTGATTGAAATAGATCCTGAGTCTCCATCATACAGCAGTTGCTCAAACCATAATTCACTGAGTTGCTTTGCTTTGTGGCATCTACATAGCTGTACTAGGGGTAGTGTTTGCAATTTTGCATGTCAGGGAAGATAATGGAAGTGACTGGAGTTTAAAACAACCATTTGTTTTTAAAGTTAGTTGTAAAGTAGGTCAGGTATTCTGTCTGCCAGGCGGCCCTACAGAGACAATGGAAGGGGTATGTTAGGTCTAGGAATGAGAGGATCCCTGTGTTGGCAGTGTTTCAAGAAGACTTGCTTGTCAAACAATAGCTTTGATTTTTTAAATTTATTACCCATTAAAAAAATACAGATCAAATTGATCTAATGGTTGAAAGCACTGCTTTCTAAGAGTTGTGTGTGGATAGGTGTTACAAGCCTGTATTTTTTCATAGACATGCATAATTTTATGTGTGTGAGTGCTGAAGATGTTTAAAAACTGAAATGGAGAGATACTCAAAGGTCTGCTTCATGGCATTTAATTTAGGTCAGGGTGCTGGAAGCACTTGCTACTAGCACTGGATCGTGCTGAACACAATGTTTCTGAGAACTGAAGGGCTTCAAGTTAATGTGCTTTAGTATCCACTGTAACAAGTCTTATTGTTACAATGTACATAGAACATATTCTCTTGTTTTTGATATTGTTCACAGAAACAGTATTTCATAGGTTACTGAAAGTACTGTAGAGAATCTTATCAGTTTGATATTTTTTCTTTCACTAGAGAATTTTGGTAGGTATGGACATTGAAATAACTTTTTATCTGCCTTACAGTCTGATGTGAAGCATACTGGCTGATAACTTAAAACCATTATCTTATTAGCAGAAATCCCTGTATTTACATAGTTACATACTCAGTGAGCGTGGCAGTATTTGCAAGCAATGTAATTTGATGTCCATGTGGAGTGTAAATAGAGATCTCGTTACATAGGAGCATATGCTAAGATACCATTTCTGGAAATCTACTTATCAAATTAAAAGATGGATTTCATGCTAAACACGAATTGGCATTTCAGGTTAAAATTTAACTGACATTTATTGTTATATTTCCACGGGGAACTTAAGATTTTTCTGTAAGTATTCTAGAGTTTTCACTATTGCTGTGAGTCATTTAAGTTTTCGTCTCTTGAAAGTTTTCAGGGTAAACATGATTGTTTTAAAATGCTGTCACTAATTATTTTTTCTTCTTTTGGAATGGATTGGCAGGAGTAGATTCAAATAGTCATTTTAATTTGAACAAATTCTTCACTGGAAGAAAGTTCAAACTCCTGTTTCGCTGTGCCAAATGTGAATGGAGTTTGCCTCAGAGAATTTCAGGCTCTGTAAAATGGCATGTAGAACAAATCACAGTTATCAGCTCAGTACATGAATTAGACACCTCAATCAAATGGGTTTTTGCACTAATAACAGTTCCAAAGTAGTTTATAGTGTTGTTTTATGAGATCTTTAATGCATAGGAACACTGAGAAGTCAGTTCCTTGTTGGTTTGAACTGGGGGTGACTTGAATTTAGCTATTAGGTTATATCCCTGGAAGGACTAACTCTGAACATGGATTCATATTTGTGCTTCTTTAAGCAGAAAAACCATAGCAGAGGCCCATAATATTTAAAATTACAGGTAGTTTTCCTTTTGTTCTTAAGCACTTCGTCTATTAATGAAGAAATACTGTGTTTGCTGGATTATACTCAGCTCCTCTGGATATACAGTATAATGGAAATCAGCATTTTCTGCTTCTATAAATAGATTGGCAGCAGCTGCAGAGCAAAACAGGCAAGCTTCTGGTCATTTTTATTATTGCCATTGAGAAATGGTTTGAATGGCTGTGGAGCGTGCCTGCTGCAGGGGAGATGAGCAGGGAGAAGAGAAGAAAGAGTGTATTTACAAGCCAGCAATGTGAGAATACTGGTAAAGAGCTCGATGTTCCTTCGTTTGGGAGTCCTTAAGCTGAGTTTCAAGCTCTTTTATGTCCAAGACATACTACTCAGCTGGTTAAAAGTCATGAGTTCTTAAATGAGACCTGGGGATAGCATTTTTCTAACTTCTTATAGTTGAATGTAAGGCAGCATTTACAGTTGTGCTCTGTTGGAGAATATCCTCATATTGTGCCCTGAGAAGCTCCTAAAATTTTCAGTTCCTTCTGTTGGTCTTGTTTTGTCTTCTACATGGGAGAGAAACACAGTGAAAGCACTCACTTCCTGCAGCATTCCTCCTTCCTGCCCCATGGAGGCAGCTCTTGGATGAGCAGCAGCTGCAGCTCTCCTTCCTAGCAGATGAGGAGCTGGTACCACTGCAGCCTGCTCACTGGCCAGCTAAGTTACTGGTGTTGCTCGTGGACACAGGAAGTTGCCAGGAAAGAAAAAGTATTGATTATCTTTCACGTGAGCATTTAATTGAAGTCTTGTGCCTGTGTTTACATGTGTGGGATTTTCTTTTCCCCATCAAAGCTAGCAATCTTCTTTTAAGAATCTTACTACAAGGTCTTCAGAAACAATGAGCTGTAGGAATTGTTTTCCTTAAATACAGATACTCTTAATTTCTGTTTCTCCAAGTACATATGATGCAATGGATGTTAGGTTCAGCTTATGCTGAAAGATATGGAATGACTTTATATTCCCTCTTTAATAACAGCACATTTCTTGAATCTTGATACCCAACCTATATGGATAATACAAAGAGCCAAGGAGATAATGAAATACAGTATTATAATGACAGGTGGGAGTAGAGAACATTCATCAACCGTTGCTTTAGAAACAGCACCATCAGCCTGTGAGATGGCTAAAGATCACCTAAAAGTGAAGTTCACTGTATACTGAAGCCTTGGAAACTGGAAAGTTTCTTAGCATCTTAGTTGCATGTTTTACCAGTGCTTTAATGTGTGTTCTTTGTACTGAATTACATCTTAGTGATATTAACTATTTTTCAAGGAGAAACTTGGAACCCTAACAATTAGATTCTTAGCTTATTATTTTTAATGCTGTTTGAAATATATGTACGTTTTAAAATTTCTAATGGATATCTTGTCTATTGATAGCCTAAATATTTTCAGGTGCTCTATTACTAGAAAAATGGATCATATTAATTTTTCATAGGAAAAAGTATTGACAATCTGACAAAGTACAAAATGTTTAAGAAGAAAACATGGGCTTAGTCTTTTTAGAAATGATTCCTCTCACACTGTATTCAGCTACCATCTTATGGTAATATCATTCATTCAATGTGAATAACCATTTGTGACAGCAGTGAGGGATAAATGATTAGGAGAGATGAGGAATATGCTGTTTGGCAGCTCCTTGTAGGCTGTTATGAGTTATAAATGAAGTACCAAGTTTAGAAAAACAAAACAGTTCTAAATCATATAAAATCTAAGAGAAAATAAATAATAGGTGCCTCAGAGTGCTTTTCAAGTAAATTGCTAAAATACTGAATAAGATGTTGGACTTTTTTCAAGAAAAATCCAAGTATATTTCAAGAAAAAAAGGAACTTAATTCTTCTTTAGAAAGTGTAGAAACTCTTAAAATACAAAGCTAGTATCTTTTGTGGAAAAATAGTGACTTTTATTTAGAGTTAGTTTGACTTGTATAATTCATTGTCTTTAAAGACAGGCAAAAAGAGTTCATTCCAAGAATCTTTGCATGAAAGACTTTATACTAAATAAACCTTTTCTTTGTGTTTTTCAGTCAGCAGATAAGCAGCGAGCCCTGGAAGAGACCAAAGCCTACACAACGCAGTCGTTAGCAAGCGTAGCCTATCTGATCAACACTTTGGCCAACAATGTTCTCCAGATGCTGGATATCCAGGCATCCCAGCTTCGGCGCATGGAATCTTCAATCAACCATATTTCACAAGTGAGGCTTTTTTCTTTTGCCTTTGATATTACATAGCAAGCAAAACTCTCAACTGACATCTTGTGAGCCAGAAGAATTTAAAACAGAAGGATGCATTTCTTCTCATATTCATTCTGGGTTTGGGTCTCATCATGTGGTTCTGTACCCGTGTTAGTATGAGCTTTTTAAATACCAAAGCAGGTTAAATGCATTCTCAGCCAGATTATTGTTTGGAGAGGGGGTCATTCTGTGTAAGTGAAAGCACAGAAAAGTTGCTAATGGTAAAATGAGAATATTATGTTAAGAAATATGAAATGAATGGTGGGAAAGGGTACTCGTCATCTTTTTACTTTTTCTGTTGCTGTAATACTGGCATCTAATGACAACAGCATAGATGACAAAAATAGTTTGCTCCTGGCTTTTCTTAATAAAATGTACTTTGCAGTGACATGAACAAAAGCCAAAATTAATGTTGCAGTGACATGAACAAAAGCCAAAATTAATGTTTCAATTTGTGTAAGGCTGCAGAACTCTTGCTGTTGTTTGCAGTTTTTCTGAGCAGCAATAAACTAAGCTATTGTGATCAGGAACCCAGGTTCAATCACCACATTGATGAGAGAATTTTGACTGCCAGAATGGGCTGAGAATGAATGATAGATAAAAGTGGAGATTTACCAGCCACTGATGGATTAAAAGAAAAATTAAAAACAATGATACAGCTGTTTCTGGGTTTTGTGTTGGTTTACTGAATATTTTGTGTCTTAGTTGACCAATACATTTTGGCTACTAGGGTTTCTTGATCTCCATGTAATAATATAAATTGAAATAAAGAATGCTGTGGTATTTAGAAAAATATTTGAAGGTAGAGGCACTGTGTACGGTAGGAAATAAGTAGATGGACTGGATCTATTTGAACCAGCAAAAGAAGTGAGTAATTTTATGCTGGCTTAGTGGCTGAATTGCCTCTGATTGGGTCAGAGGAATCCCAGGTCAAGTACAGAGAAAGAGGTGGGGAGGATTTTCTGTCTTGATAGTGCTGTGCTATTAGATTGCCTCAGTTGTCTCATGGATCTGCATCAAAAATGAGCTGGAAGTTTGATTTCTTTTGCTAAATGCTCCATGTTAATCATTACGTGGACAAGTAAATTCATTTTTTCCCCAGAAAGTGGTATGAATTACCCCGAGTAATGTGTGCTATATCTAAATGCTCTGTCTGTATGTGCTTCCTCACAGGCTAGTGCCAGCTCACACATGTTCCAGCTGTTTGAGAGCCTGATGGAAAAGACAGTATAGTTTGCATTTCATGAATGTGGAAAAATCATTTTGTCACACAGCTTCTGTAAAGTAGTTTTTGTGGAAAGGGCCATAGCATTTCAGATTTTTCCTCCTGACAAGATGACATTTATGCAGATTGAGAGCTAGGTTAGATTGTCTTTGATCTTTATACAATACAGCTAGTTATTTAAAATAGTGCACTAGATTAGAAGTACCCCAACACCTAATGAAGATGTGTCTGCAAAATTTCATAGGTTGAGCTTGAACAACGAAAAAAACCCTGCTATGGTCTTTTTTAAAAATACAGCTGTAAAATTGAAAATCTAATTTGTTTGGGGGGATTTTTTGTGTGGTTTGTTTTGTGGGTTTTTTTGAGCCTGCATCATCTGTATGTAGGATGCTCTCCAAATCTTTATGGAAGAAATAATATCAGAGGAGCAGACAGTATTTAAATTCTGGATATTAAAAACGTGAAGTGTGTAGATCCAAGGAACTTTATTCAGTTGAGTTAATGTATTTGGAAATGGCTTCTTTCCGTAATACCAGTGTTGTAGATTAGTGTGTTATCTGTCTTAATTTCCGTGGTTGTTTTTCTTAAAAAAATTAATTTGCATAGTTTTTCTGTAAATAAATAAATTTTTTTCAAGAAATTTGATTATACTTCTCCTGAAACTAGCCTAATCTGTGGAAGGTTTCCTTGGTATTTATGTTGGGTGTAAAGTTTAGTGAGCTTTTTCTAACAGTCCTGAAAATGCTTTGTGGTGTAATACCTCACTGCCAAATTAAGATTTCAGCCAACTTGACTTGAAATGAAGTCAGTAACATAGAACAGAAGACAGGTTTGTTTTGGTCAGTAGGTCTTGGTATTTAAGTTTTAATTGTGATAGCTGGATGGAATCCTGCTTTTAATTCTGATTTGGGATTCCACATTATACTCCAAAGAGAGCAGAATCATTTGGGGCTTGGTATAAAAACTTTTCCCAAAGTGCTTGTTGTGTACAGGTAGCTCAGACTGGGAGAGGTGTGATTAACTTTGTAAGATAAAATGCTCTGGTCCTTTGTTCATTGGTAGAATGCCAATTTATATCCCTTTCTGTGTTTCCTTCTAAATGCCAACCTAATCAAAGAGCTGAAAAGGAAGCTGATAATCATTTGTGCTTTTTCAAAGTATATATAGATTGTGAATAAGGAAATTGTTACTATTGAAACTATTTTTATGCAAGTGATTAAATCCGATTGATTTAAAAATTAGAATTACTTTGGTTTGGTCTGAAAGCTGATGAATCTATTCTTACTTGCCTTCTTGAACCTTGTCCAGAACTAGATGATACACAGTGTTTCATATTTGACTAAGAATTAAAATCTTAAATACAGATCATATGTACAAATATTTATAGTTGTTAAAAAAAAACTATCTTGTGGCTTTCAAGTTAGCAGCCACTGTGAAACGTTACTAACATCCAAATTCTTTAAATTAATCTGGCACATTTTCAAGTTTTAATATTTGTATGATGAGAAATGTTTTTCTGGTTTAGTTACAGAATCTGTTACTTAGCAAGGTCGTTTTAAAACCTGCTGCTAATTATATAAACAAGCACATTGTCACAAAGGTGAGTGGTAGTGGTGAGTTTTCTGCAGTGGCACTGTGTTGTGGGGAGGTCTCCTACATCCTCCCCTCGCTGAGCTGCCTGCCATGCTCTTGGCTGTGAGAGCAGGCACTGAACAGACTGCAGGCTTGGGTTCTCTGCAGGCAGCAGGTGCTGCTTAGCTGCCCTGTAGCAACATCTGTGAGCTGCTCAGGCTCTGCAGGGAAGTTCACTTGGACTTTCCACTGAAAAGTCAATAAAGATTTGTGACCTTTCTCAGTTGTCTTATTCTTGCAAGGCACAGGAATAGCAAAACACATTAAAAAATGGTGATGCAAGGCCAGTTTTGCACAGTGCATGTTCCTGTTTATGGAACAAGTAGCTTTTTAGCATTTTTGTAGCATTTCTTTTTTTTGTGCATAAATTACATGCAGCTTGAGACAATTAATGTCACATTACATGCAGCTTGAGACAATTAATGTCACATTTTTAACATGTCAAAATTAGGCAGTTACTAATTTTAAAGTAATAATCCGGTTTTCAAGGTAATTTGCAATTAGTTTGAATTGAATCAAATTAATAAGATTAATAAAAAATAAAAGTCCAGCAGTACTGTATGTAAGCAACATTTTCTTCTGAGAATTTTGAAACTGAGTTTTAAAAGACCAGACTAACAGGCTGACAATTAATTTATAAGTTTAAGTTAGAATGGTTTCAGAAGAGGAATAAATGAAGGTTTCTGGAGACTGTTATCTCTGAAATGTCACTGTAATTCAGACTTTCAGCATGCTGTTGTGGTTTAACCCCAGCTGGCAACTAAGCACCACATGCTGCATGCTCATTCCCCCTTACCAGGCTATAGGTAGATAGGCAGAAGGGTAAAAGTGAGAAAATTTGTAGGTTGAGATACGTGCAGTTTAATGATGATAATGATAATAATAGTACAGAAAACTGATATTGAAGAGAGAAACAGAACCCAAGAAGGAAGGCTGCAGATGAAAGCAGCTGCTCAGCAGCAGCAGAGTGCAGCCCAGGCAGTCCCCAGGCAGCAGTGCCCAGCCGGGCTCCCCCAGGTCAGCCTGGTGCTGCTGACCATGAGGCCACATGGAGTGTTGTCCCCTGGGTCAGCAGGGCCAGCTGTCCTGGCTGTGTCCCTTCCCAGCTTGTGGTGCACTCCAGGCTACCCAGGGCTGGGTGGGATGGGGAGCAGAAAAGGCCTTGACTGTGCAGTCGGTGCTCAGCAGTAACTAAAACATCCTGGAGTTATCAGCTCTGTTTACAGCACTAATCCAAAATATTGCCCCATACTGTGAAGAAAATTAATTCTGTCCCAGCCAAAACTAACGTTAGTTAAATGCTAACTTAATACTTTGAGAAATTTTGTTTACCTGTAGAAGAGAATATTTCTCAAAACTCTGTGACTTTGAAGTGAACTTCTAAGTAGTATTAACTTACCCAGATATTATTTCATGGTTTTTTTGTTTTAATATTTGCAGAGCTCGAGACTGGCTTTGTTGAATTCAGTATGAAAACCTGATGTTTCAAAATGGCCAGAAAATTCCTAATAGAAAAAAAATGCAGTGGTTCATACTTTTCCCTTTATGCTCTCCCTTGGCTATTGCAGGATCTTGGAAAGCATATGAAAAGATGACAGTAATGAGTCTAACCTCTAACAGTCACTTAAAAGCTTTTGCCAAAGCTAATGGAGCTATGTGAAAAAAAAATTTAAAAAGCATAATAATGCTGTCAGGCGTCCAAAATTTCTTGTTAGAAAACAGGGGTTTAAGTGGTAGAAGGGCACAGTGTATCCCATCTGCTTTTCCTAACAGAGTTTTCAAGACAGGTGTTTTGTTAGTCCAGCTCTAACCCCAGAAACTTCTTATTAGAACTTTCTAAACTGATGAATAAACAGTTTGGTGCATTCTCCTGCCTTGATAAGGGATTTATGTTCGTACTGGAGGTAATAATTACCTGTGTATTGAGGATAAATGTTTTCATTTTCTTCAGTAGCAGGTTAATCTTTGTTACCTCCTCTACTAATGGAATACTGCAGTGTTTCTTCGTGCTATTTTGTGGATGTATTAGGATCTCATGACTTCCATAGTCTACTAAACAAGAAAATGAAGTGTTTGGAAAACTGCCAGCATAATGCTTTTCAATACCATTTTCGGTGTGTGGACCAGAATTAGGTGCAGTTTGTATACTTCTAGTTATTCCATAGCTATTCGAGCTAAAAGAGATGTTCTGAATCATAATGCAAGAGAAATCTTGCATTGAAGATGAGCTTCAGGTTTTAATTAGGTTTTATGCACTTCATTGTTTGTTAAGGTAGTCATGCCTCATGATCACCATAGTCCTTAAGGAAGCTTGTTGTACCCGTGGCTCCTATTGAAAACCTACTCTTCATTCAGGGCAACAGCTTTGCACGGTGCCAGGATACCATTGCTACAGTAACATGAGCATTAAATATCTGTGCTTGCCTTGTATTAGTAGATAATTACATTAAAAAGTACTGAAAAAACATAAAGTTGCAGAGTTCTAGCACTTGAAATACAAAGTGAGAAATCATCTTGCCAACCCTGCACTAATAACTTCCATTTTGATTTGTGGATTGAAATTGAAATTATTGGCTCTGAGTGCAATACCCAAGGTATGAAACTGGTTTTGAAGGACCAGATTCAGACCCATAAGATTTTGATGCTCCAGTCCATCCTGAAGTCCAGCTGCTGCAACTTAAGATTTTTAACATTCTAGCAAATGGTATCAGGGGCCTGTGAGACAAAGAACATACAAGAGTTGTGTTTATGCAATTCTCCAGTGGCGTGTCCAGGCCACAGATAAGGTCTAGACCATAGATAGAGTCTGCAGAAGAGATTGGATTTGTCGATGGTGTCAAACATGACTGTCCTCCCAAGTTGTTGCCATCACATATCTTCAGCTTCTTAAGACCCTGTGTGCCCTCTGACTGGTGAGATGAGGAGTCTGTAGACCATCTTCTCCAGAATGTGTGCTCCTGTTCCCTATGCTGCAAAAGCAAAGGTCTAGCACAGAGAAGGCATAAAAGCCTGAGATGGAAGATGAAATTTTACATCTTAGCCTGATGCAGGATGGTGTACTTTAGGTACTCTGGCCTGGAAAATGTTGGTGTGCTCAGTTTGCACTTGTGCTTGTACCATAAATATAGCACTGTAAGAGCTGTGAAGATCTGATCTGCACTGCTCTGTTGGGGGTTGGTGTACAGCCCTGGTCATCTTGGGGAGCTTCATAAAGGACCTCGGCAAATTCGTTGGAGAGTGGTTTTACTGTTAAGTAGTTGCAGAAATATATGTGTTTCTGTTACACTTGTGTATACTGTGAATTTCTGCAGAATTTATATATTGGCCAAATCTGGGTGGGTTTTTGTGTGGGTGTCCCAGATACTTTAACTACCCCCATTAAATTTCAAATCATTGCTCAACGAACTTGAGCTTTCCAAAGAAAGATTTGCCAATACATTTTGACCTTAAAATCTATTTTTCTGTAGCTTTATTTTAAGGAATAGCTAGGCACCTATAGTGGAAACCTTACAGTTCTAGGCAGATGGAACTAGAGGTGGCAGAATGTACATGACAAAGCTGTAGTCAGTGCTTAATTTTAGCGAAGTTAAAACTTGAAAATATGTTGCTGGGAAATACTAGGCAATCTTGATGATAGTGTTGTAAGCTCACATATAATGTCCCAGATATTTCTCTGGAAATAATGCAAAGAAGCAACTTCTTGGAAGTAGTTTGGGGGTTGGTTGGGGTTTCTAAATTATTTTTTTTGTGGCAATTTTAAAGGTTGTGATGATTGCTCATGATTAGCTTGCTTTGCTATCTGTAGCAGGGTAAAACAGTGTAGCCAACCCCACTGCCCCAGTGCCTGCCTACAGAAAAATAAAATAGACAAAATGTATGTTAGGAAAATGAGTTCTCATTTATACCTATTCTCCAATTATTACAAAGCCTGGTTTGAAACTGTGGAAGGTGTTTCTGGTGCCATTCATGATCATTGAAGTGAATCTATGGGTGTTTAAAAGTCCTTATGGTGGTGGTTCTGGCTGTTTATACTTTTGGTTTTTATCCTGTAGCTAAAACTTTTGTTCACAGTTTAGCACAGTTTAAGTTTTTTTTCCTATAGTGAAAGCTGCTTTGTGAACAAGCAATTATTTTTGGTTTAAATAAGGCAAGGAGCTCCATGGCCCATGATTTAAGAGATTATATTTTCCTGGAAGAAATAAATGGACTTTTTGATAGCCTTTTCTTACTCATTACCTAACAAGATTCATGTACATGTTTTTAGGCAATGAATTGTCAGCAGGACTTTGTCTTATACCAAAGATTCTCCCGTGGTACTAATTTTATTATATGAAGGAAGGGATTTCCAGTGTTTGCCCTAGGTATCAAAAGGGAAGACAAAGGGCTTAACCTTTGGCTTTATTGTGGCTAAATTAGTATGGAACACGTTCTAAAATCTAATCACTGCTTTGCGATGAGTGAGTTGTAATGACCAAAATACTTTCTCCATTTGTCTAAGTGAAATTTTATTCTATTGCAGGCTTACCAGTCCTAATTTAGCAAACTTGTACAGTGTAAGAAAACCTGCTTATGGTTTGTTTTTCTGGTCTTAAAATTAAGGTTTGACAAGGCGTCCTTACACTTTATCTAGTTGAAGAGCATGTTAAAGAAAAGCTTAGAGAGCAGTTGTAAAATAAAAAAGGATAAGTGAAGGAACCTTATAAAACAGTGTCAGTAAATCGATGTGCCCTACTAAGAATGGAAAGGAGAAGGAATTTTGTGAAACTGAAGGAACGAGGGTAACAGAAAACCCAAATAATCCCCAGCTATTAGTGTGGCTTTAGAGGTGGCAAATTCAGCAGTAAGTTGAAGAAAGATGATTTAATCAAGTGTATGTAGTGATGTGTTTAGTACAGTGTAGAGATCTTCGAAACATTAGAACTGATTTAATTATTTTTTAATACTGACTCTGTATTCCAATGCATACCACTGTTAGTAAATACACTGCGTCTTTTGTAGACGGTGGACATTCACAAAGAGAAAGTTGCTAGAAGAGAAATTGGTATCTTGACTACAAACAAAAACACCTCAAGAACTCACAAAATCATTGCACCAGCTAACTTGGAGCGACCAGTTCGCTACATCAGGAAACCTATTGATTATACAATTCTAGATGATATTGGACATGGAGTGAAGGTAGGTGATATTGTTAAAACAGCCAAACTGCAAATTCATTGTCTTTGTATATTTTCAGAATAACCTGATGCTTTTCTTGGTAATTATACCAGTTTCTCCTTGCCTGGACAACGTGTCTATAAACAGGAGAGGAGTCCTGTCTGATTTCCAGTTGTCCCTTCCCCTTCTCTTGCCCCAGTGTTTCTAAATGTTTCAGACTTAATGAATCTGATTTCTAATTGGGACTATGAGTCTCACCTTTTAAAATGCTTCTGAATATCAACTTGTGTGATGCTGCTGTTATTGTTTGGGTCAGTTGCCAGGCATATATGTGGGTGCTGAAGGGCTAATGACTATCACTTTTCTGCCTGAATTACCACCACAGAGTGTGATCCAGCTGTAATTGCACGGGTTTACTTTGATGCTCATGCAAAGGAAGGGTTTGCATGAGGAGTGTTATGGGCTCCCTTTTCTTCTTTCTGCCAGGGTTAGTTATACACAAACCCAGTGATGTGCTTTGTTAAAGGAAGCTCTCTACAACTTTTGTGCCATATGGGATTTTGGGATGGGAATATTACTGCCAAGTTTAAAGCCAGGTGGTTTTTCCTTTCAAGATTAGGAAAAGAAGAAGGAATTTCAGAGCAGACTGAGACACAACTGGTGGCTGTTAGATCAATATACACAACAGCAGTGATATCATGTTTGAGGTTAGATATGCATTTTTAAAAGCACATCCTGAATATAAACACAGTTGTAGCAGGTGTGAGCTCATTGTTAACTTGTGCTGCCAGGAAAACAAGTACGGAAATGAGAACACTGACAGTATTAAGGTTCCAGGAAATGAAAGGTAAATAACACAAAGTGATGTCATTTTTACAAGGCAAACTAACAAATCTGTAAACCTGCTAAGTAGCAGTAAGGTAAGATGCTTCTTCCAGTCAAAGTACACCAGAATTTCTTTTGCTTGACTTGTAACTGGATGAGGTTATACCTCTTGTCCTATTTGATTTGTCTGCTTGGTGGCCGTTTAAATGGCAATAGGTGGTTTAACCTAACTTTTAAAATTCAAATTCTGAGCAATTTGATTTAAATATTTTTCCCAAGCAATTTTACTTAAGATCTTTCCAACATCCTGCTTGTTAATGGAAAGTCTCCTTCCCCCCATTTCTTATCCAAAAAATCGACGTCTGAACAGATTTATAAAGGACAAAGAAAAAAGCATATCCAACTTTAATAACTACAGTTTTGACCAGGAAACTATTACCAGTCATGTGTTAAAATCTGCTACCAATTTTGAATTTATGCAGGTCAGCAGATCTCCGTCTGGGTGTGGATGGAGCATATTAACCTCTAGGATTGCTGTTGCTAATATTTTAATCATCATTTTTTGTTTTAGGGAGATCATTTTAGAACTCATTAAAGAATAGTTTTTAATTGCTCTGCAGCACAATCTTATTTAGCACTGTCTCTAGATCATTATAATTGGTATCCCACTTACCTCAATGTAGCAGTCATACTAAGATGCAATGAATTATGTTCTACTGAAAGAACATAGTTCATTGAATGCATGATGACTTGAGTGTTTTACATTCATTTGTTATGCTTGTGATAGACTTAAATTATATTTACCATGCACTATGTTTATCTAGAAAATGAAGAAGTATTGTGTATTTGTGAAACAATAATCAGAGAACTTGAAGTCATGCTATTCTTAAGATTGTAAATGCGTTCCAATCAATCCTGTGTTTAGGACAGAAGAAAGAACAGCTCTCTTGCTGATGTGGAAAAAGGTGGCCAGTTGTGCTTATGAACCTGTTTTTGCTCTGCTTGAGAATCTACAGATTAGTTTATTAGATTTCTGGCTGTAGAGCAGAGAGAAACAAAATACGTAGAAGCTTTACTTTTGCCTATATATAGCTCTTTATTGTTTGAGATGTGATACTTTTCCCTTCAAGTAAGCATTCAGAAGGAGTTGTTGCATAAACAGCATTAATGTTTCAGTTAGTATCAGGATTCCTCTGCATTCTTTGTCCTTTTTCTACTGAAGGGCTTCTGTTCCAGTACTTGGACCCAGAATTACGTATTTTCAGGACAGGCAGGATGCTGATGCAGCAGTCATTCATTGCAACCCCTGAGAAAGATGGCAAGCTCGACAGAATAATATAGGAATAAAAGGGAAGATTCTTGGCCAAGAAATTCAGTATGCCATGCTGAGAGAAGTGGTACAGGCCCTTAAGCCTCTTATTCCTTCCATTCAGAAATTTGAAGTGTAGTGGAGACAATGTTCAGGAAGGGTTCCTCTATAGTTTCTAAATAGATGTGAGAGAATTCAAGTGCTTCTGTATCATCCCAGCAGTCCCTCCTCATCTTCTCTCCCTGAAGCTACAATCTGCAAAAACTTAAAGAATCTTTTGTGTGAAAGAGACTTGCTTTCAATTTTTTTCAAATATTTCCCAAGTTACAAAGTCTTCCAACCTATTGCTCCCACCAAAGAGTTCTTTAGTCAAGGGAATGGGAAAAAAATAAGTACTCCCTTCAGAGAGGTGTGTATTAAGACCCTGTAGTATCAGGCAGTGCTGCTGAGTCTCTGCAGATGGACCTTCCAGTGTCACTGACCACTTGTGGCCAGTACCGGGGACCAGGTTTTCCAGTGTAGCTGTATGAGGAAGAGACCATATTGGTTAATTGATCCACAGAACTTTAAACTCAAGGACATGAGATTTTCTAGTAAATTAGATTGTTTCTTTTTAGTAGAGCAGAATCTCTCCTAAATTGATGGAACAAATCAGTCTAATTACCTAGGTATTTGCTGTTCAGTGCTGCAGAAAGTGTAACAAATTTAATGATACATTTGGATGAATTGAACTAAAAATCATCAACTACAGATCATTCAAAGGGAAAGACAATTTTATAGGAAATTTTTATGGAGAAAGAAGATGTATGGTATTGTGCCAGTAAGATGCAGAAGTTAGTGTCAAAAATCTAGCACTTAGGTTTTAAAGTAAGATTTTGCTGTTGGTTACTGTCAATTTATACTTTAGGAAATGTGGATATGTGGCACAGTATCCATAAAAAGTGCTGTACTTCTTACAAGATGTAACAATTTGCTCTCGATCTTTGTTCAGGAGAGATCTCATGGCATCAAGTTAGCGAAGAGCATTTTCTAGAAAAGAACATACATTATTAGCTTATGTTAGAAGCTTCCATTTCAGCTACTTGTAAATGTGCTAAAGCATGTAAACCGTTTAAATGAGCTTGGGCTCATTCTGAAGGCTAGTCTTTGACATCTCAAATAAATTAATCTCTGAAATTAATCCATCTAGATCTCATGATACATTTTGAAAGAAGCGGCCTTTTTGTTAGCACTGTAAGAACTTCAGTAAACAGTGTACAAGCATTTGAATGTTAATTTTAAAGTAATAATTTAAAGGCTTTGTGGTCAATGTATATTAGTTTCAGCTTGAAGATCTTTTGTTCATGACATTCTGCTTTAACCACTCTTTCTATGATCTACTGATACATTATTTTGTTAATGCTGAATGCTTAACTTTTTTCTTTCTTTTTCCTTTCTCTTCATATCCTGAAGTTCCAACTAACCTTTCAATGCTTTTTTTCCTTACCTCTTTTATTTGCTCCATTTATGCATTAAGTGGTTGCTTAGATTTAAGGTAAGAAACCCCAGGGCTGGATTTCCATTCTTCTTCTGAGATTATTACACACGGGGAGATGATTGACATCAATGCTACTGATTGTTTAAAACAACACCCGCTCTCCCTTCTGTGTCGCAGAACTTCTGTTGAGTAACTCATTGTGGATAAGCATTTTGTGATATCAATTGATGTGTATATGAAAGGAAGTTAACACAGTTACTTTTAAAAGCTTTGTGGTAAAATACTAGCTGCCCTCGGCATATTTAGGAGATCATTTATGAGGGAGGGATGTTGTGCTAGCCTTGTGTAGACAAAAATATACACGGACTAGATAGCAGGTAAATATGAGCCTCCCCCTGTGTAATATTCTTTTTATCCTATATACGGTGTAAGTTATGGTTTGATTTGGATTAACATTTCAGTGTGAGATTGCTCAAATAATGGGCTCCAAAAGTGTGTAACAAATTCAAATCTGTATATTATTTTTTAAAGTTGCAGTATTCTTAATTTTTTCAGAAATTGACAGCATAAATACTCAGAGGCACTCATCTATGGAAACTTCCAGAAATTTCATAATTGCAAAATTATGAAATTATGCAAAATACTTAGTAACTGTTAAACAACAAGATAAGTGATTTATTTAGTTGAATATTAAATTAAGAGTGCATCAAAGAATTCAGGCTGAAGTATGTCAAATTCTTTAAATGTTAGCTGTGGCTAACATTTTAGTGTCACTGATGGCAGCAGAAGCAGCAATAAAAAGCATCAAATCAATTAGACAAGCAGTTAAATGAAGTTACATGATACTGTGGTGGAGTTCATAGTACATTAATTAATAGATAGCTTATAGCCTTTATTGAGTATGATCTCCTCCTCCTGAAGTGCAGCTGGTTTAGGGAAAGAGGGGCTGGAAGTTTTTTAGTAGCAGGTGCCACCATTGTAATGAGGGAACAGTATTTTACAACGTGGAATGCCAACATGTGGAATGAGTACATTAATTAAAGGAAGTTCTGAGTTGACGTGAAATACTTTTAATTGTTTTCTATGCTTGGAAAAAGCTAAAAGAAAATCCTGCAAATTCTTGAGCTTGCCTGTAAAACCAAGTATTTCTGTAGATACCTCCATGATGTCCCTGTGAAATTGGACAGATGATACTTTTAGTCAGGTGTTTAAGTGTATATAGCATCTCTGATAACAATGGAAAGCTCTTAATTTATGGGAGAATTCTCATATGCCATTTGAAATTTCAATTTTTACAATGGTGTGTGAGGTGTACAGTATTTCAACTCAGTATTTACATGCTTTTAATTTGAGAATGGCAAAATATGTCTCTTCCCTGAGGTTTTTTATTGTCAGATTACATAAAATGGA